AATGCTCTAAATTAATGGAGTTGCCAGAAGGATTCGTACATCTTAGCAAGTTAAAGGAGCTTGAGATCACTGCATGTCCAAGACTGACCAGAAGATGCCGAAGGCCCCAACGTGAGGATTGGCTTAAGATTCAACATATTCTCAGTATTATAGTCAGGGAGAGTCATCGGGACAATGCTTGATTTTGCAGGATAAAACTTACCAAACATAAACAATATTCCTCACAAAAAAATTACTGTTCCAATTTGTAGTTTAACTTTGCTTTGTATGCATTAAGTTTTAACAAAATTACCAGCTTAACTACCCAAACAGAGGCGTGCCTTTTCTTCTTTAAAATCAATCAGCTTCATGTTGGTAGTACAGCGGCTAGAAAGATCAATAATGTAAGGGGAATATTAGATGATATTGCAAATGAAGGGAGGGGGGATATATTAGATGATATTACAACGGCTACAGATTAATTGAGTATATAAGTAATATAACACTTCTTAAAAAGTAACAATAAACTATGGCGGGGTCGCATCAAAAAGAAAAGATACGAGTATGTAAAAGACAAAGGTGTAGCTGCTACTCATGTTGCCAAGTCAAATAAGGTACGCTCATTTGCCTCTTTGTGTGGAAAAGGAAGTGTTTTTGGTAGGAGAATGGGCCACAAAATCAAGAGGGTTTGGAAGGAGCTAGATCAGCTTGCAAACACAAGCAGCTGATAATGTCAGTGTGTCGGGTAACCCAAATCCTGGGACAGATGTTGAAACAAGTGATTATAAGCAAATCCAAGAGAGCATCATTGTAGGGAGGGAGAGTGACATAGAGAGTATAGTAAATGCTTTACTTGATACTAGTAATTTAGAGAATGATATATTTGATGTTGCCATTGTTGGGAAGGGAGCAATAGGCAAAACTACCTTAGCTAAGTTAGTATACACTGATAAAATAGTAGTAGATCATTTTGACCTAAGGTTGTGGGTTTGCGTTACACAAGTCTTTGACATCAGGAATATATTATAATCAAAATTGTCGCAGACTACTTAGAATCCACAAAACTAACAATTGATGGCCGTGCTATATCAGAACTTGGATTAGATAGATAAATTAGTTTACTTGAAGATGCAATCACAGAGAAAGTATTCTTTCTAGTCCTAGATGATGTTTGGAACGAAGACCGTGATAAATGGTTGTCTCTTAAAAGTAAATTGACCGTAAGGGCCAGGGGAAGTAAAATTTTGGTCACCACTTGCTTTAAAAGGGCTGCAGATTTGAATACCCGCAACTTTGAGTTGCCTCCTCTATCTGAGCACGATTCTTTCTACTTATTCAGCAGAATTGCATTTGGCCAGCAAAAACCCTCGGAACATCTTATTCAACTAGCCAAAAAGTACCTTCACCACTGTGGAGGTATTCCTTTAGCCGTTGTAGCTTTAGCAAGTGTTCTTCATGCAACGGATGAAGACGAATGGGAAGACTTCTTTGCATCACTTGAAAGAGTTGAGAAATATGAATTCCGAGATAATCATCCCACGTTTAAGATCATAAAGCAAAGATACAGTCATTACCCATCACCATTGAAGGCTTGCTTTTCTTAATTGTCCCTATTTCCCAGAGAGTTTGAATTCAACACACTTGATGTTGTTAGTCTTTGGCAGGCTCAAGGATTCCTTGAGACAGCAAGCACCAGACGAAGACCAACAGCTAGAGGATTTGGGCGAGAAATATTATTCATTTATGGCTAAACATGCATTTCTTACACATCAACAATGGAAAGCTTGCAACTTTTAAGATGCATCACCTTGCTTATAAGCTGGCACTACAGGCAGCTCAAGGATGGGAGATAATACATGTACCTCTCATTAATGGAGGAGACACAGAACTGGTGCAAAAAAAATCTTGGTGGATAGCCATAAATTAAGAACGTTTTTATGCAGGGATGCTGATATAGTGATTGAAATAAGTAAAGTCTTGAAATCGACAATACTCAAGAGCCTTCGGGTGTTGGATTTGCAGGCACATGGCATTTAGTTTCTACCAGATTCCATTGGTAACCTTATTCACTTGAGGTATCTTGATCTATCCGGCAATGATTCTTTAGTGAAGCTGCCCAATTCAGTCGCAAATCTGTACAACTTACAAACACTGTAACTCAGTTTTTGTTATGATCTCAAAGAATTACCTACTAATATGAGAAAGTTGGCCTGCCTCAGGCGCCTTGAGATAGATGGGTGTGAGAAAGTGACTTTTATGCCTACTGGCTTTGAATACCTGACTTCTCTTCGAATTCTCTCTCGTTATGTGGTTGGAAGACCTCGTTTTCAGTCTTCCAATGGATTTAAGTCGCTTGGTAACCTCAACCGCTTACAGGGAAAATTGATGATTGAGCTTTCAGAGGATTGGACTGCTGCTGTAAATGATGCCGCAAAATCAAACTTGAGCAGCAAAACCAGGCTTACAGAGCTGGAAATCAAATGGGGACCTGCAAGGCGTACCAGCAAAACTGATTCACATAAGCACCAGACGATGTTAGATGGCCTCCAGCCCCCTCCTAATCTGAAAATGCTGCATATAGAAGGATATAAAGGGCCTGATTTCCAATGTGGGCAAAAGCCAACACTTTGGCCACAGCACTTCCTGGACTCGTCACTGTCAGCATTGACAGCGGTGGACAATGCAAATCGCTCCCTCCTTTCAGTAGGCTCCCACACCTCAGGCGCCATACTCTTCGATTTATGGATAATCTGCAATTTTTGAGAACTCTGACAACCAATCATCAGCACCAGAATCTCAATTTTTCCCAGCCCTTGAAGAACTCACACTGCATAGTTTTTATTGCTTGGAAAGATGGTATGATAATGAAACACTTGTGTCTTCACTATCATTTGATTGTCTCAAGAAACTGAACTTATGGAGTTGCCCAAAGTTGGAATCCATGCCTCTGTTTCCAGATGTTGAAGTACTTGATCTGCAAAATATCAACAAAAAATTACTCGAAGTTCCCAATGTGACAACACTACCATCATCATCTAGTTCAAAGGCTACAAATTTAGTCCCACGAGGGCATCCACAAAATCTCCCACTTCTCGAGACACTGCATGTAAAAGGTTGTCCTAGTTTAAAGACCTTAGCCCTTGGGAAAAACTCTGATAAACTAAAAAAACTGGTGGTAGAAAGATTAGATACGTTGAGTTCTTTAGTTGAAGTTTTGAAACAACTCACTTCTCTTGAAGAGCTAGAAATTTCTAGTTGCAAAAGATCTAGACCTTTCAGGTGGATGCCAAAGTCGCTGTGGTGTGTGTCATTTGTGTTGTGTGCCATGGGAATCTCTCTCAAGTCTTTGTCGTTTAACTCTAAGGGAACTACCACAGCTAGAGACTCTCCCTGCCGGTCTGGGAATCATCGGGACACTCAAAGCTATATGCATTTTAGCATGTAATAATTTGAGTTTTCTGCCTAAGTGGGTAATGCAAGTTCAGTTCACTTCAACACCTTAGACTTGAGGGCTATTCGATATTGTCAATGCTACCTGACTACCTGAGGAGCTAAAAGGTATCCATTCTCTAGTGAAAGTTGACGTCATAGAATGCCCCAAAGACGTCATAGAATGCCCCAAATTAATGGAACGCTGTAGAAAAGGCGGTGAAGACTGGCACAAGATTAAACATGCACGAGTTCTACGTCACAAGTCCTGGCATTATGCATTAATGTCTGAAGCAGAATTACCACAGGCATATTGTTGTCTCTTCTCTCAAATCCTCTCTCTCATACCTTTTTGTTGCCTAAACTTACAGTCTTACACTAGTCATTGCATTTCTCAGAAACCCAAAAATCAGGGAAAAAAATATTGTTATTCTTTCAGAAGATCCTATTATTCACGTAGATGTTACTGTCATATGGCAACCAAACCGTAACATGTGATAGGTGAGCCTCAAATGTATGATTACACCATTAAATTGCTGTCATTTTAATTTTTTGTCTTTGTGTTATGGCTTATTATATTTGGTAAAAAAAAAAAAAAACAAAAAAAAAACAAAAAACAAAAATTCATTCTAATTTTACTGCTTATTCTACAACATGCCATTAATTGATTTTAGTTAGTATTTTCGTTAGGTATACTTTTTTTTTATAGAAAAGCTAAGATTGATTTGTTAAATTATATTTCATACTTGTAATCATAGAGAAACTCATGATATTGCTCAAACACTGTATGCAATTGACCCTATCTTAATGTCAGGTTACCAATATGCTCAGCCCAAATATAGGACTACTAAAGAAATATTTTTCCCCTTTTATTTTTCCAGACATCAAAGTGAAGGTGTCAATCTCAAGTATCAGGCAGATACTCAAATAGCTTGAAAAATGCTGCTCTGAAGCTGAGCACTAAGGCTGGAAACCCCAAGCTGAGCACTAAGGCTGGAAACCCCAAGTTTCAAGCTGAGCACTAAGCTGGGCACTTTTAATGATTTCTCAACTATATTTTGCATCTATTCGTATTTTCTTCAGCAATTGTCTTGGCAGTAATATCTCAATTCTCATCATAGATTAATACGTGTAGTATATTACTTCGTATGTGTTTAGGCCAGGGGTCTAGGCCTTACTTTAGTACAATTATTATCGGTTTGTTTATTAGTAATTTGCCACTGTATATAGCTGATGTATCAGTTTGTTGGTTTGTTTTTTCTTTTGCTGTAATTTAACCAAACAAATTAATTAGATAAGACATTAGAGAATAAAGCTGTTTACAGTTACTCTGTAATTATTTTGCTATTATTTGCAATAGTTGCCAGTTTGCCACATTAATTTCGCCACAAAGGCAGGAAGTATTCCAGATTTTAAACTAGAAGCAAAATACCATGCTACATTGAGGCAGCAAGTAAAATAATCTGCAAAGTTAAGCTCACTAGTCACTGATCTAATACAACGCACCAGTCATGAAACACATGCAAATAGATTGCATTCTGCAGGTATGATTAGAATATGTGCGAAAAATAACATGCTCAAATCATGAGAGATACAGGGGGAAAAAAATTATAGCTTTACATCCAAAAATGGTACCAATCTCTCTACTAGTGTACTATAGGCTCTACAGCAGTATTTAGTTCATTTTAAATCACTGGAAATATATTTGCGACATTATATGACTCATAAGCAACTACAAATTTGAAAAAAATATCCTTGTACATGTTCTACCTAGCAAAAACAAAGTATATAAATGGGATAAATTTAATAAGACCTACTTGAAGAAACAGGGAAAAGTTGAAACTACAAAACTAGTATTGTATGAAGAATGTCAAAAGAATAGAGGAGAGAATGCCTGCGATACTTGTGGCAGCAGATCTTGTAACTAATTTTTGCGCATCAAATGCCAAATGCTAGGCAATGATAAAAACATGTTGTCCTGCAATGGTTAACGCCATCAGAATTCTAGCTCTTCAAGCCTGCAGCAAGCTCAACAAGTCTGGATCTAGCCCATCCACAATTTCATTACTCTATCCCTGCCACCAGATGCCACCTTCTCACCATCTGGACTCCAATCCACAGCAAAAACCTGTAAATGTTAAAGAGCAAGGGCAATTTGTTATAAATCAAAATTTATGTCTTCAAAAAGGAGGGGGGGGGGGGGGTGGATCCAGGTAAGAAACATTAATTAAAATTTCCAACCTCATCTGCATGGCCTGGAAGGTCTTGTTTCAGCTTCTGCGTTCTGATATCCCATATCTAATTGAGAAGATAGGAAATCAGCAAGAAACTAAATATAATCATATAAAATGCAACTAATCGCACAAGCCACACCAACATTATTATGAATAAAGACTATGTCCAGCAAACAGAAATACACCTCATCTTCATCACACAATTTGGATCTCATAATATGAAGAAACAAGGTGAACCTACAATGTCGTGATATATAGCCAGAATTTAGTTGGCTTTGTGCAAATAAGTTTAATGATATCATCACTTCTTGTTAGAGTTCTAGCTTATGTTAAATGGGAGTCAACTTCTAATCCTGTATGTTGCCTGCACAAGAAAGGCATCATATTTTGTGTTCATCCTTCCTGTTTAGAGGTTATTACATACTACGGAGTCAAAATTCATATATGAGTCAAGGTGATATTGCCAAATACTGAATGAAGCTTTCATGATGAAATGGGGTATCACTAAATATCAAGTTTCCCAAGGCTACAAGAGAAAAGGTGGATTGAACCCCTCCACATTTGGTGAGATAACTTGTTGAAGTGGAAGTTGGATAGTTGTTACTTGTACTAACCTTTAGCGTGGAGTCCTTGCTACCGCTCAATAGGAGTCTGCTATCTGCAGACCAACTGCAATGGGACATAAAATATCAGATCAACAACAGCATATCAACCATATTTTGAAAATTTTAGGAGTATAGGAAAAATTTAGACCTTATTTGATAAACAGGCCCAACATGACCCCGAAAAACAGCAACAAATTTCCCCGTAACACCATTCCACAACTTAACGGATTTATCAAATGAAGCACTTGCCACCCATTGCCCATCAGGAGAAAAGTAAACATGATTCACAAGCTGAGTGAAACAACAAATGAAAATCTTAGATGGCAAGGTAAGATTTTCCAGCCAACAAGTGACAATAATATTGTAGCCAATGAAGAAATGTGGAAAAGGAGATACAACATTGAAAATCAAATATGAGTAAACCCAGTAAGAGCTGGAACACTAAATTTGAGGCCAAACTACATAAGCTTTCTAAAAAATTAGAGGAAAAAAAATCTCACTCTCACCTGCTGATGACCTGTCATTCGAGCTTTTGGGTGCTTGCTTACAGAAGGTTCCCATAGAAACATGGTGAAATCATCAGAACCTGAAACCAGTCTCTCTGGAGCATCACCTCTCATTTTGTTGTATCTAGCCAAAGCAACCTTGGTTCAAACATGGAATGATAGATCAGAAACCAACTAAACTGAACTATAACACACACACACACACACACACAATATATATATATATATATATATATATATATATATATATATATATATATATATATATATATATATATATATGTATATGAAACAGGCTCTTAGCTATGCAGTCCAGAAATATCTGAGAGCTTCTTAGTTCCTTAGAAGACCAAATATAGCAAATTAATTCAACTTTCTGTCAGATGACAACTCTTACTAAAGGCCATACATTCCATTTATCAGAACAATTATTTGAAAAAGTGAGCTAATTACATAACTAAACGAAGAAGAAAGATGGAATAGCATCTATGAAAAGACTTGCCCACTCTTAGAAAAATAATCACTTGCATGTACAATATAGATGACTCACAACTATAGACTCTAACTTCTGGAGCTGCAAGCATAGAGATTGAAATCTATATTACCTCTTTCATTTCCTCTGGGGAAGAACACTTCTTTCCTGTGTGATCAAAAGCTCCAGTCCGAAGGACATACTCGGTACTGAGTGCCAGAGAATTGACCCAATGTCCATGGCCCTAACATCAAGGTTATAGTACATTAAACAATGCAATGAAGAAATCAGGTCCAGGTAAAGAGAAGATAGCTACACATCAAACAATACTGGTGACAATCAAGGGTTAAGGAATAATGTGAGGGAATCCACTAATGGCGAAGAATCCACAGTGCCTTAAGTGACCTGCAAATTCAATACCAGAGATAACCTCACTACAACAACACCAGAAATGCAGTTCGTAGCTAACTGATGTCACACACAAAGTACATCATCAATTGCAGAAAAAAAAAACAGAGAAGTCATGAACACCACAGATCTACGGCAAAATTTAATCACAACCAATAGTATTATTTAAAAAAAAAAAAAACAAACAAACAAACAAACAAACAAAACAAAACAAAAAGAATTGCATTCAACACACTGCAGGGTGTGACTCGAAGAATCGTTAGATAAAGTTGTCTAATATACCTTCAACTCACGAATTAACTTCCCTTGTTTAGTTTCCCAAACTTTTATGGTACAATCCTGAGAGCTGTTTCAGGTTAAAAAAAAAAAAAAAACACATATATGAGCAACCAGCACAATTGAGAGCTCTGGCTAGCATTACTAATAATTAAAATGATCAACAGACTAGTCAAAACTACAAAGGAAATCAATAGATGTTTACAATCATGTACTTCGAGTACTTACCCAGTATAGATGAAACCATCTCCACCCCACTTTACACATGTTACAGCCAGTGTATGCCCACTCAGGCACAGGACAATTTTACTAAGTGTTACATCCCATACACGTGCATCACCATCTTTGCTAGAACTTACAAACCGGCGACATGGAGATTGAAGGTGTACTGGTTCCCAAGATATACCAGTAATCCATTTTTTGTGCCCCTGACATGAAGTTCAAGAAACTTATCAGTGAAGAGTTATGAAGAAAGCTCAGAATTTTAAAATTTGACACCTCAGCTTGGCTTTCTCCAATATTGTCCCCCCCCCGGGAGAAAAAGAGGTTATTGTAGGTTAGAGGACCCTTTCATAATCTAATATATATATAATTGAGCCCTTTGCATATTTTCAGGCCTTAGCGCTCCAATCTCGAGGGAAAGACAGACAATTACATGACTAGAGTATTCTACTAGTCAGACTACTTGCTATGCTATGACGTTACTACTTACATAAAAGTAACTATATACAAACTTGAGACTTGAAATAACACATGAATCTCAAGCAAAGTATAGTTAATAGCATGCAAAGGAAAATATAGCATGGCCCCTATTAGGCTATCTGTTTCAAGGATCTAAACTAGCACGTCTACATGTCAATAGGAGCGAGAACATTCACATGCTACCAACAACTTTCTATTTCTTAAGCTAGAGGTGGTGTTGTCAAAATTACTTCCTACATTTACAAACAATCAATTAATTTTAATAGCATGTAAATATTTACAAGGTCAAAATAAGCCATCTCTAGTAAGGAAAAATCTTTTGTACAGTTACTGCCTGTCTGAGTTGATAAAAATAAACCAGGAAAAGTTTTTCATAGACAGTAATCATAGGTCATGATGACAAATGATATTTCTCTTGTCAGACTTGTAGATTAGAAGCTACCAATTGTTAATATTCAATCCTTAAACTGTACATAGAAAGAAACATAGCTAAGGGAAACCATGATAATGGAACAGAGACCCTAAAAAGTAAAAACCTAAGTTCTGCTTAAAGCTCATAATTCGTCAGCCATGAGTTGCCAATGTGGCATTGGACCCCTTTATAGTTCTTCAACAAATGCACAAAGCTAGCAACTTAATCTTTTGATATATCTTCGTATATTTATTTTTGCACAAAAAGTATACCGTAAGTGGGCTTCCTGATGGTTTTCCTGTCTGAGGATTCCAACACTGAAGCTCTCCTGCCTTGCTACCACTGACTAGATATTTACCATCAGGGGACCATGCTATGCAGAGTACCCAATTTTTGTGTCCTAAACAAGAAAGAACCAAATTAACTTAAGAAAAACTAGTAAACAAAGTCATGAGCAAATAGGAGAATCAAACAGATGAAAGACATGCAAGCACACAAAACCATTATTAAGTCATGCAAGCAGTACTTATTAGCACGGTCATAAACCTTTCTCCCCAAGTTTCCATAAATTTAAGGAAATTTGCTAATTACTACCGCAAGTTAATACTACTTTGTAAATTACTACCGCAAATTAAAAAAGTTGTGAATTACTACCGCAAAAAATTTTAAGATGTTGCGATTACTACCAAACTCCTATTAAACCCAACTATGACGTCATTATATCACTTTAACCCATGGTTAAAGCCCTTAACCATGACGTCATAATATCCCTAATCCATTTTCTTTTTTTTTTTTTTTGGGGGGGGGGGGCTGGTTAAAGCCCTTAACCATGGTCAAACACGGGTTAAAGGGATATAATGACGTCATAGTTGGGTTTAATGGAGGTTTGGTAGTAATCGCAACATCTTAAAAATTTTTGCGGTAGTAATTCACAACTTTTTAAATTTGCGGTAGTAATTTACAAAGTGGTATTAACTTGCGGTAGTAATTGGCAAATTATCCTAATTTTAATGTAAAATCTTTACTACTTATTTATCCTGCTAAAACATCTCCATAGGATGAACTGAAAGACACAATACCATTAAGTTACAGAGTCCCAATTCACTGAGCTTGAAATCTTGAATAGTCAAGACTTATCCTCATTAACGATCTTTTCTTCCGGTAACTTGAAATCTTGAATAGTCAAGACTTATACTCATATATCCTACGTAAACATCTCCGTAGAATGAATCAACTACAAATAGCCCATATAAATAATCCAAGTGCCATTAAAATGTTATAAAAAACAGAAGAACAGAGAGCACATCAAGACAACCCCCCAATTTACTCTTGTGAATCATAAAACTTGGATTAAAAAGGAGATCGATGACATGCGGAGAGTGAAACAGAAGGGTACAGTAAGAATGAAGTTTCTAATGCAGCTCTCAGGTCCCTACATGCATTTCCAAAAGCTCCAGTTAATCTAAGAACCAAACCTGTACAAGTGAACATTGGTGTTTGAGTAGCTATGTCCCACAGTCTAACAGTAGTGTCACCCGATCCACTGGCTAACTGTTGGCCATCAGGACTAAATGCGACTGAAAGCACAGATTCAGTATGACCTGCAGCACAAGATCAGGATAGCGATAATCAATACCAACTAAAACAGATCACTAGAATATGAGACAGTAAGCCAGTATTATCAGCACATAGTTATTTATTTAACCACAACAAGACAAACATCAAAAGGTAGCTTCTCGCCTTCTCCCTAGTAAATTGGCTTAGCCCTTGATTTTCTTTTCCCCTTTATCATTCTTCGTGCTAGAATTCACAATGATTTAGAACATATTTAATATCTGAATGGCTTTCTCATACACAAATAAAAGAATTACCAGCTATTGTAGCAGAACAACGATTAACAGGACGGATGCGGAAAATTGCTTGAGGCTGATAAACTATTTGAACAACCTTCTCCACAGATACTGCATACACACCATATATTAATAGCCTTAGGAAGAAATCAAGATATAACACCATTAATATGGCAAGAAAACACACTAGTAATACAATTGATAAAGCCAACCTTTATTTTTCTGTAAATAGTTTCCCAGTTCAACAAGCAGCTCATGATCTGATATATAGAACGCATATGGTAGTTTATCTTCCTGAAAAAACAAAAGAATAAGGTCACTGTCTCCACTGATGTTTAATAGACAGCTTATGTGGAATGCACTTCAAGATTTATGATTATCTACAGTACAAATTCCATTGTTATACCCAGCAGATGGAGGATTAAAAAATTGAATAAAGTAGCCATCATTTGATGTTAGCAAGTTTGGAACTTTGCTTATAGAGAATTGGCAAGCCTGTATGATTTAAGCTTCTCTAAGAAAGCTCTAGATTTGAACGTCAATACAATTAAACCCCACATGCATAGACCAACCTAAGAATCTGAAATTTCTGAGTATCTAAATACGAACACTAAAGCACCCACCCAGAAGGGTAAAGCATTCTTGTAATCTTATAATCCAACCTAAAGCAATACTGATTTAAATGAATATGAAATCACTTTAAATGTGAGTACCTATGTTTTCATACTAAAGAAGCTAATTATCCACCACTCATAAATACTGAATATTTCCCAATTAATTACCTTCAAATTCAGTGATCAGCTGTAATAGAAACATGAATTCATGCAACTACAATTCACACAAATCACTTCCAGCTTCAAAATAGTGTCAACCTTCCCATCCCTTCTCTCTCCTCTCCTCCCAAACAAACATACATAAATTGATACTTCCTCAATATCCCAACTCGCCCCGGTTACCGGTGTTAAATTATTTTGATTAATTTGTCGTAATAAATAGAGGAAAACCGTTGAAATTAACCACAATTCATGAATCAGCTAGTTACACAAAACCCATAACACTAAATTTGATAAAAAGCAAGGAAAAGCATAATTATGTCATCACAGTTGCAAAATTTAACCAATAAAAATTACCCAAAAAATGTAAAGTTATTGGGAAATTCTGAAAATAAACAAAAAAAGAATGTTAATGAGAAAAGGTTACATTGTTGAGAAGGGTATTGACGATTTGTTGAAGTTCTTTAGGGCCAGCGTTTTGAGGAAGATACATGGCAGTTCCAAGTGGATTGCCTTCTGGGTCTGCCAACTGACACATCACACTGTTCCCATTATCCATCTCTTTATCTCCTTCAACCTCCATTGTTATGGCAGATTAATAATTATCAGAGGAATTTTCCAAAATTTGGAGCTTGCAGCTGTGGCGGATCCAGGATTTGGAGACAAGGGTAGCGCAACGTATACTAAGTTAAAAAATGAGCCAAGACAAATTAATTAATACAAAATCAAATTTAAAAAGTACATAGAATGTATGTTATTACATTACAACACAAGTACTTAAAAAAAATTTACAAATGTTCACGACATCAATTTACAATTGCATCAAGACTTACATTCAAGAACAAATCTTTCTCCAAATAAGTAACTAAAGTGTCATTTAACAAACCATCTCCCATGCTATTTGGTGGAGTTTGATGAAACAAAGGGTGAAAGGGGAATTTTCATAATTTGGTGGGTTTTGATGGTTGGAAGGATGATTATCAGGTGGTTCTCTTTGTGTTCTTTTTGAAAAAAAACTGGAAATACTTCTTTCTTGGGATCTCTTCATTGAATTAGATTTCTGGAATTTGTAGCATTATTATGTTTTATCAGAACATATACCATTATTATCATATTTGCAAGTTCAATCATCATTACAACTTCAATTGAATTAGAAAAAAAAAAAAAATAGAACTTCAAAAAAGGCAGTAAGCAATTAGCACATATAATTCATCAACATAACAATTAACAAATTCAATTCATAAAATCATAAATCAGCAAGTTAAATTCATCAACAATTCAACACAGTAAATTTGGTCAATTCAATTATTACATAAACAGCTAAACACCAACATTATACTTCATTACTTGAATAGTTCAATTAAATTAATCAATTCAATTATTCAATATTTCATTTCATAATTTCATACTCAAATTCTAACCAACAAAAAACAGAACCTTATTGAAACATTAAAACAAAAAAGAAAGGAAAGAAGGGAACCTTAATTGGAGCCTTGGAGGAGTTGGAGGCCGAGAACAGTGAGCATCCCCTGAACACCGTCACTCCGTCAGGTCGCCGAGAAGAACTTGTGTCGTGACTCGGTGACTGAGCACTGACCAGGGAACTTGAGGAGTAGAGAGCTTCAGAAGAGGAACTTCAAGTCTTCAACAAAACAACTTGAGGAGTAGAGAACTTGCAGGGTTTTGGGATTATTAGGGTTTATCAACCAACTTGAGGAAATAAGAGGGGCAGTCGGATTTTATACTTTTACTCAGTATTTTTTTTTTTTGACAGCCAACCGTATTTATTTTGTACGGAGTATTTGTCTTCAAATACAGTACGGAGTACTTTTGATAAGCTTGAGCAACTTTGAGGAAATAAGCTTGCAAAGCTTAGTAGTACATTTTATTTTACTGCTCTGTACAGCCGTACTTAATACCGAGTCTTGAAACCGAGCTTATGTGGACGATATTGTGAGAAATAGTTTTTAAATTAATGTATATTAGAAATTAGTTTATGTTTCTACATTATTTAGGAGAATCGCTCGACAATTGAACAAGTTTCGAGGATAAAAAATATATTTCTACTTCACGCACTTCCATCGACCACCACCATCCCCTATTGACACGACCCCTATTGTCACATTCTATTGGCAACCACCATGCCATCCGATCCATCCATCACTACTCAACCATGAGGAAAAATGTTTATAATTATATCTACCACAAAGTCCACAAGTCTACAAGTAGACACTACTCATATTTACTATCAACGATTTTAAGTCACATTACAAGTACATTTCTACATTGTAATATTTGATTTTGTTAGAATTGTTCCATTATTAAATTCAAAATAATTATTTTAAAAAACAAGTATATATAATTAAATTAAATAAAAAGTTATTAAAAAAATAAGTATGGACTACTTATTACAAAAGTATGTATCAAAGCGAATCTAACGAAATCTAATATCAATTTTTTCGATTAAAAAACTTGTACTGTATTTAGGGCCTGTTCTGTTCCGTTGAAATTCAATTTAGCTCAGTTCAGCTCAGTTCAGTTCAGCTCAGCTCAGCTCAGTTCAGTTCAGTTCAGCTCAGCTCAGTTCAGTTCAGCTCAACTCTTAATTTATGTCTAATGATATTGCTAATGATATAAAGCCAAATTTCATTCTTTTAAGCTCTTATTACAACGACAACAACAACAAAAACAACAATAATAATAATAATAATAATAATAATAATAATAATAATAATAATAATAATAAAGACTAGGAATGCAAAGACTTATCGATGTGTATTATGCTACCGATTGGGTGTTCCGTTGTTCTCTGCCTCGACACCGTGCTCTGCTTGTTCGAGGGTTTTTCCAGGGGATATTTTTGGCGATCACGCGGTGTCGTGTGCTGGTATCGTGGGTATTAAACATAGACATAATGTTGTTCGGGATACCCTAGTTGATGTTTGCTATCGTTCTGGGATTTCAGCAAGGAAAGAGGTTGATATTGGGTTGTCTGGAGGGAACGGTGATGCCTTCAGACCTACTGATGTGTTACTTTATTCTTGGGATCGTGGTCGCAATGTCTGTGTTGATTTGACAGGATCTTCTCCTTTGACACAGTCAAGGTTATCTGACTTTATTCCTGGACGGGTTGTGGCTGATGCAGCTCAGCGGAAGCGGGATAAGTATGAGGCTCGTTGTCAGGCGATTGGATATGGGTTCATTCCCTTCTCCTTTTCTTCGTTTGGTGAATTAGAGAAGGAGGTTGTTGCGTTACTTAAGCGAATTCAGAGGTTCTCGACGACGCAAGACATTGGAGCACGTGCTGCAGCTCATATTTTTACTAGGGTAGACTTTGTTATAGCTAGAGTAGTGGGGGCCCAGATTGTATATCGGCTTCCCATTAATTTATTGTAGGTTGTATGACTTTTTGTTTTTGAGATATAATAATAATAATAATAATAATAATAATAATCAATAAATAATAATAATAATAATCAATAAATAATAATAATAATCATCAATAAATAATAATAATAATAATAAATAGTATATGTGTTTAAAATGTTTAGAGGTTTCAAGTTTTTAATATATTTTCCATACATTTTATAATATATTTTCCATACATTTTATAATTATAATTATGTAGTATATTTTTCGTAAATATTTTAATATGTACATTTGTATATACACATATGTATAGTAATAAATAATCAATAAATAATCAAAGATCACTAATCCGTAGTTAAAAATCACTAATTAATAAGTTCACTTCAGTTCAGTTCAGCTCAGTTCAGTTCACTTCAGTTCAGTTCAGTTCAGCTGAGTTCAGTTAATCGGAACAGGCCCTTAGTGCTTGTGAAAAAAAAAATACAGAGTAGAAAAAAAGGGACCAACTTCAATCATTTTTAACGTTGACCAAAGAGGATAGAATTTGAGAAACGCAGCTTTGAATTTAATTGAATGTTAAAAATTCCCTAATAAATCATGAACAAAATCAAGTTATTGCTTCCGATATTAGCTCTGCTTTTGATTTTCCTAACATGCGATTCATCTCAACATAATCCAGAAGAAATTAGGTCTGTAATCAACCGTTTAGATTCTCAACGATCATCTCCAACTATCCAGGAAAATGCAGCTAAAGCCCTTCTTCATAGATTGTTGCCTTCTCACTCTTCCTCCTTTATTTTCAACATCATTTCAAAGGTATCATCTTTTTTTAGCTATTTCTTTTCTGGGTTTGATTTGCATGTATTTTCTACTTTAAGGGATTTGACTATGATTGTCTTTTAATTCTTTATCATTTTGTTAGCTTTATTAATATTTTTTTTTTATGAAGTTAAAGGGTATATTAGTTTGAATGGGTGTTTTGCATTATGTCAAGTTTTTATTTTAATTATAAATTTGTGGGTAGGTTTGGATTTTGGTGCTTGTTGTTTGAGATTGTGTTCTTTAATCAAATGTAAATATTAAGGTTTTATTGTTGATATTTATAAGTTTGTTCAATTTTATGACCAATGTACCTGCGAATTTGGTTCGAAATGAGTGTATCGATCCCCCGAATGTGCTTTGTCCTCCGCAGCTTCTTTGATGCCTTACCATTTTTGGATAATTTAGTTTTGTTGTGTCTAATTTTGTTGCCAAGACTTTATGAAAGGGTGACTAGCCCTTTTATGTGACCTTGGAAGAGCAAGCTAAGTTGTTCTTAACTAGAGCTAGGCCGCGGGTTAACTGTTGGCATGTTTTTTTCAGCAGCGCTTTGTCGTGAGCATCAATGGCTTCTTTCCTAATTGCGATTGTCACCAATCAATGTCATTAGTGGATGGCAAATATATACTCCAACTTCTTTGATTAAGTTGCTATGCCTGGGAGAACATACATTGTTCATCAAATTCATAAGAAGTTTCATCTTTGAATTTTACAGGTTGCATAATCTTTCACTGGAACTTATAATCCGTGAGATTTGCGTGTGCTTGGAATGCAAAAATGCGTTCTTTAGCAGTCTGGTTGTCTACATGCATGTGTGACTAAAGTCGTATGCATTTACCTAAATTTTGTTGCCATCTATAATGCTTCGCAAATAGTGTGAGGATTGCAATATTATTGCTTAAACACATGTTGTGCTTACAAAATCTTATTTTCCTGTAGTAGGATGTTTGTGGTGGAGACAGTTGCTTTAGGGTTGAAAACTACAACAAGTCAAGCAGGCATGAGCCGCAGATAGTGTAAGTAAAACATAATAATTGCTGTTAAATGTCATCACAATCGTTAGCTATCCTGTCATCCTTCTCCCTTTTTTTTTTTTTATTGGCATGACATCTGAATGTGCTGATTCATCTTTCAGGATTAGGGGCACCACCGCTGTTGAAATAGCCTCTGGCCTTCACTGGTACTTGAAGTATCTGTGTGGTGCACATATATCGTGGGAGAAGACTGGAGGTGTTCACATGGCTTCTATACCAGATCCGGGATCACTTCCTTTTGTAAAAGATGGGGGCTTGGTCATGAAACGTCCAATTCCTTGGAATTATTATCAAAATGTTGTTATTTCAAGTTGCGAGTGTTATTCTTCTATCCCGACTTTTATCTCCTTGTTATTTCTGCTGTTGTCATCAATATTTCTGTAGATTTGTTTGCATGCCAATGCTACAAATTTAGAACATAAACTTTCTTATTATTGAGAGTAAAAGGTAATTTTTTTTTTCTTTTTCTTTTTGGATCTCATTCTGCCGCATTCTAAAAAGATAGCAAATTTCCTGTAAATAGCTGTGGATGCATTTTAGCTTAATGCCTTTACCGCATTCTAAAAAGATAATGAATTTTCTGAAAATATTTGTGCATGCATTTTTGCTAATTGCCTTTTACTAATAGTGGAAGTCTCACACCAAGTCTATAAGTAGCAAATAATTATTGAACCTCAAAAGATTGTATAAAGTATTTAAGTGATTGGTTGGTTGACATTGTTAACTGAGACAATAGTCACAATACCTTAGTTATAGCCTTTTTTAGGCGTGTGAAAGTCTAAATGAAAATTCTTCTAATTTTATCTCATTTTGTCTCTCATTTATTGTACCGTCTGCATAGTTTGCTACTTAATTTTCAGTATTCTACTTTTACCTTCTTCAATCTTTCCATTTGTATTGCTTAAATTGGCATTCTGGTTTTGTAGATTCCTTTGTCTGGTGGGATTGGCAAAGATGGGAAAAAGAGATTGACTGGATGGCTCTTCAAGGTATCAATTTGCCTTTAGCTTTTACTGGGCAAGAAGCTATTTGGCAGAAAGTCTTTGTGGTAAGTCTTGGCATTATTCTCCTATTGCATTTAACTTACTTCATCATGTTTAGCATACATTTGAAGTTGTGCGTACATGTGAATACCTGATGATCAAAGACCATAAGCAAGCCAACTTGTAAGGGAATGTTGCATATAGCTACCTAAGGTAACCAACACTTTAACTTAAATGTATCGTTTTTGTATGGATGCTTGATAAATTGCATACCCATGTAATTTAAGTCATTGGTAGGTTGAGGACTTGAGGATTGATTGGGTTGTTGGCTATTGTGCTTCCTTTTTGTTTCACAATTTCACTGCCAAGATCCTTTACTACCAACACACGAATTACATAGCTAAACTCCCATGAGCTATGCATCAAATTGATTATTGGACTTTGAATGTTTAAACTGCTTTGAGTAATCGAAACGCCTTGTTTCTAACAATTCAAAGAATGGACATTTTAAAGTACGTGACTCATTATAGATTTGCGTAGAGAATCAAATTCAAACACAGTAGTACATAACTGTAATAATAGTTGTTTATACCTATTTCTACTTTTGTGG